CGCCCAGCCCTAGAACTCTCTTATATTGCTGGTAAAGGCATAAATTTGTACAAACATTTTGGAAAACTGGCAATATCTACTATCACTGATCATATGCATATCCCCTCCCCTAAAAACGTGTGCCCTTGTCCACAAAAAGAAACATAAGAATGCTCATTGCAGCTTTGTCAATAATAGTCCAAAAATGATTAACTCAAATGCATACTAACAGTAGAATAAATTGTGGTATACACACACAATGGAAGACTATTCAGCAATTAAAAGAAAAAGCTACACACAACATGGATGAATCTCACAAAAATACAGATGAATAAAAAAAGCCAGATACATACTATACTGTACATACTCTATGATTACATTTAAGTAAAATTCAAGAACAGACAAAACATCTATGGTGATAAAGTCAGAAGAGTGGTTATCTTCAGATGTGAGGACAAAATACTGATAGGGAAGGAGCACAAGCTGTGCTGGAAATGTTCCATATCTTGATTTGGGTAGTGAGGACAGGAGTGCATACGTATGTGAAAATTGTTCCCTTACTGTATGTATGTTACATCCCATTAACAAAAAAATTTAAAGATAACATTTTTTTAACATAGAAAAAAAATCCTACCTATCTTTCAAGTTCAAATGCCACCTCCTCTATAAAGTTTTGCCAGCTGGAATAAACGTCTCCATCAGGGCCTTGGTACCATTCTGATGTCATTTCTTTTACCCAACTTATTACACTCCATCTTGAATCACAGTGGAGTCTCCTTATTTCCCTAAGTAGTTAGCTTCCTAGTGGCAATGACCATGTCTTTCACCTTTTACCCACTTAATGCCTGACAAATAACAGAAGCTGAAAACATGTTTGTTGAATTACATTGCATGGAAGAAAAAATTGGATGGGTGCCCAGATGGGTGAAAGGGACGACAGGAAGAGGAAGGCAGGCCAAGGAAAGGACATAGGAGGTCTCCAAGGAAACCGTGGTTTACACTGCAATTTTACCTACTTCCTGAAATCACATTAAATGTCACCTTGAGTGACAAAGAAAGAACAAAACACCAAGTCCTATCTAGTCTGAAGATAAACAAATATCACATTCCCTCACTTGCAGGAAATCCACTAACTAAATGCCGCCTAACCTCTGCGTGTTTCAACTCTGGATGGGAAAACTGTTCATCAAGAATAATAAACACATTGCCATGCTGCTAAAAATATCATCTCCTTAGTGTGGTGCAAAGAGCCCAGATTCCAAGTCAGCAGACTTAGGGCCAAATTCTAACTCTGCCCCAACTTGCTGTGATCTGTGGCCAATCTCTTCACCCCTCTGGGCCTCAATTTCCTCATACGTAAAAACAACAGGGGTTGGATTAGCAAATTCTTTAAAGACCCTTTCTGTATTGATATTTTGAGTATATAATCCATAACTCTCCCGGTCCAAAGCAAGAACAGACCAGAAACCCCTGCAAAACACGTAAAAGGCGCCTCAGACCAACAAACAAGCACGATTTAAATAAGTCATTTTGTTCCATTGTCTTTCATGGTTTAATCGGTGTTTTTGTTTGTTGTTTGCAGCCTTACCATGATTTGCAGAAGATTTCTGAATTCCATGTAAACAGAAGTAAACTCTCTGTGGGCTGTCATCTTCTCTTGAGGTTGAGAAGGGTCTTCCCGCCTGGTTTCAAGTCTCGGGATTCAGAAACTACCAACTCTGCGGGCTGGTTTATGAATTTGCGCACACTGCGCGGCACAGTGGAGTCTAAGTTACAGAAGACCGGAGCGCAGGGACTGCCGGGATTTGTAGTCCCTAGGCCTCTTTGTGGTGTACTGGGATCTGTGGTCCCCTAGACACTCCCCTGTGATGCTGGGAAATGTAGTCTCTGTCACATCGCACAGTGTGACCCGCCGTCGTCTCATACGGCTAGTGTGCTCAGCGGCAGAAGCAGGCACCTCGAGCCTCTGAAGCTCTCAAGCCAACCCTCCGCTGGGGCAAACTCTAGGCAACAACATCAAATAACAATTCTGTCCTATGGGACTTCCCGGGGAGGGCCCGCCCCGTTGACGTTCTTCGTCCCCCTGCGAAGCCGCTGAGCGTTTCTATTGGCTTATCAGGATGCCAATCGTCGAGGCAGGCTGTCCATTGGCTTCGGGACTGGCGCTCCGAGGCTAGGGGGAAGGAGAAGGGATCAGGAGCGGGAGCTGAGGGGAGGGAAAGGCCGGTCCGGGTCTAGCCGCTGTTGCTGCTCGCCCGACGTCTCCAGGCCCGGGTCCGGCTGTGTTATCAGCTCCTGGGCACCGTGGGAGAGAGGCTCCGACGACCAGAGTGGGAGAGCCACGGGCGGCGGTCGCCGCATCATGTCAACCATGGACGAGCGGGCCAGGGAGATCCTGAGGGGCTTCAAACTGTATCCGCTCGGCAGCGGGGCGGGGCCGGGAGGACTTGGGAGGCGGCCGCTCTCTGAAGAGACTGGCCGGGGGCGGAGGCTGCGCCAAGTGGGCACTGGAGAAGGAGGGCAGCGGGTGAGGATTGGAAAGGAACGATGTGCTGGGCCCCCGGCGGGACGGGGCGCGGGAGGCGGGCAGAGGGGCGTCCTGAGGGAGAAAGGAGACGTTGACGGGAGCCCCGGCGGGTGGAGGCGGGGGAACCTGGGGGACAGGGCTGTGAGAGGCGCCGGGCGTCGGAAACGGGTGCCGGAGAGGCCGGCTGGGTTTGGAGCTCCGGCCGGCACCCAGAGGCCAGAAGTGGGCTGCGGCCCTCAGGGAAGGGCTGAGGGGGCGCGGTGGGCTGATCTCGAAGCCTAGATGCCTCTTTGGCGGGAAGCCGACCGCAGAAGCAGGGAAAAGTGACTTTGTGTGGGACAAATGCAAATGCTTATGCTTGTGTTAAAGTCTCTCAGGTCCCCTAGCCTATCCCACCCCCGTCTTGTTTCCACAACTTCTTTCCCTCACTTGTGGCTTCCTCCAGGGCTGGAGTAGTAAAGGGAGGCGGAGAAAGAGAAGTCTGTGATCGACCTCATCTTAACTGTCTCTTGGCTTTTTGAGGCATTGAATGGTCTCTGCTTCTCCCCTCAGCTCCTCAGTTTTCTTTCCAGCAAGGTGAGGACCATGAGCTTGCGCGTGTCCCTCGTGCTGGGACTAAAGGTATCTTTGCTGGCTCCTTTTGGAGGGGTTAACGCCGAGCTACGGTGGAGCTGTCCAGCAATGATTTGATGTCATTGGGGACAGGTAGGATATAGAAATCATTGTCTCCGGCCTGTCGTGGTGTCGCTTTTGCAACCTTCTCTCTTTAATGTGATAAGAAAGCTTTGTGTATTAACGGAATGTTAGTCTGTAATCATATGATGAAAATGAAAAAATGCGATTTTATATATTCCAATTTTAAATTCTGCTGACCTTAATCTCTTCTTATGTCCTATGTATAGAGTATGGAATATTCTTAAATTCCTCTCTCAGTGAAAATGTAGTCATCATTATAGGGATCCTCCCCTGGA